TAAATATAATCTAGTTCTAATAACAATTTATTACATAATTGTTTTAAGAAAAAAAAAAAGAAACTAACCTCTAGCTGCAGGCGGCGGGCGACAGTGCAGCGGCGGGGAGCAGGGTGGTGGGACCGGGGCGGCGGGAGCCAGGCGGCCGGAGCAAGGCGGTGGGCGGCGGCGACAGGAAACGAAAATAAGAGAGAGAGAGAGAGAAAGGAAGAGAGAGAAAGACCGGAAGAGAGACAAGGGGAGAGAGGGAAGGGGAAGGCCGGAGGCAGGGGCGGCGGTGGAGAGATTTGCAGGAGAGAGAGAGAGAGATTCATAGGAGAGAGAGAGAGAGAGAAAGCGTCGGGATAAAATGAAGAAGAAAGGGATATTAGGTCAGAGTTATTTGTGACGACATATTCGTCGCAAATAAATTTAAAATGTCGTCACTAATAATAAATATTTGCGATGTCAATATCGTCGCGAATTAATAAAATGTCGTTGCAAATACTAAAATATTTGCGACGATATTTTCTCGCCACAAATATTTTAAAGTCATCGCAAATAATGTTTTTTTCCCGCGCCTACTTTATCGTCAAATAAGATTATTTGCGACGACGGTAAAACAATGTCGTCACAAATAAGCTAAAACTATTTGCGACGCCTAATGTCGTCGCAAATAGTCATCACATGTTGTCGCAAAAAAATAGATTACCTTGGCGCCAATAATCCGCGCCATTGAAAATTGCGCGCCAATATTATTTGTGACAACACTGAACTTATTAGCGGCGACATTGTTATTTTATTTAATGGTGGGTATTTGCGACGACATGTCGTCACAAATAGTGTATTATTTGCGACGACAAATGTCGTCGCAAAAGGGCATAATTTGACCTACATTGGGTATTTGCAAAAAATGTCGTCGCAAAAGATGGAAGTTTGTTTGTGACCTACATATGTTAATTTGAAGGGATTTTAATTCCATATAAAACCCACTGTTTATGAGCACTCTCATATATCCTTTCCCCTCCTTTTTTTTTTCCTTTTTTTTATTCGAAAACTTTACTTTTGTCTCCCTTGCAACTTCTACAAACCCTCTAACAATTGCTTTAAAAAAAATAAAAAATAAAAACCTCTATCAATTTATTTATTTTTAATTCTAAAAAAGAATATTCACATTTACACGATTATTATAGTTTGATTTGAGAATATTATCCATCAGTATTTTTCCAACTGATTTTCTTCACAAAATTTAATTTCTAACATTTTTTTCCCGCAAATGGATAATACTCCCTTTATTTCTTAAATGACATGGTTAATAACAAGAAAGGAAATCTAAACCGAATTCTTAGGGTGGTAAAAATAATTTAATGCTCGTACAATTTTAGGTAGGACTGTTCATCGATTCGGTTTTATAACCACCGGCCAACCGAAACTGAAGGTTTGGTTTGTCCTCCACTAGCAACCGAAACCGCTCAAGGGAGGGACAATAACCGAAACTGACAAAACAGAAAATGGTCGGTTTCCGTTTGGTTTAACTGCCGTTTTTATTAGCACAATTTTAGCACATTCAAAAAAAATAACAATTTCAGTCATGACAATATCATTTCTCATTCATTCACAATATCACAATATCATCAAACTATCAAATATAATTCACTGATTAATATCATTTCTCATTTATTCACATTTCTCATTTCTCACAAGAACCCTAGATTGAATTTACTAAATTACAAGCAAGATTGAGAGAGACTCGTACTTTAGATTGAAACTTGAACCACACCGAAGAGGAAAAGACGTTGATGCCAAAGACGACACGGCGGATAAAGAGCGGATGCCGAATGGATTCAACACCAGGAGAGGGCGACTCGAGATCGAATGGAGAGAAAGGAAGGAAAAACGGAGAGATTGGTTCAGTGAGAGAAAGGAAGGAAGGAATCAAGGAAAAACAGAGAGAGAGTCAGAGAGAGAGAGAGGAGAGCTCAATCTGGAGACCACCGGGAAAGTATCGAGGGGCGGCGACAAAATGGGAAGAGACCAAAGTTTTGGTCCTTTGAGTCTCAGAAAACCCTAGGTTTTCTATCCCTAAAACACCGACGTTTTGTATATACTTTTATTTTTTTTAATTTTTTTATCAATTCGGTTTGGTTAAAACTGAGCCTCAAATACCTGTAACTGAAACCACTCGAGTACGTAAACAGTCTGTTTGATTTTTTAAACTGATTTTTTGGTTTGCTCTCGGGTCGGTGGAAATCGGTTCAATTTCTTGAGCGGGTCAAGCAGTTCTTGTCAGTTCCGGTTATCTCTGAACAACCCTAATTTTAGGCCGTGTGCAAAAGGGTTAAATAACATGGCTTCATTTTACACTCATTTTCCCATTTTGTTACTAGCATTCCATGATTTGGTAGTTTTTTTTTTTTTTTTTTTTTGAAAGGACTAATTTGATTTAGTTAGAAGATTAATTAATTTGTTTTTTTTAATGGTCATTAAGTTGGACAACCATAGCCCGCATACATGGATATGGTATAGTTGGAAACTTTATAATATTGACGCGGACATTAACTTGAGAATTGCAAAGTACGTAATAATGAATTAAACACCAATTTTCTTCGTAATTTGCTAGTAATTAAACACTAATTACTCATTAGTACCATATATAATTATATATAGATATTCCATCAAGAAAGTACAAGAACATAGGCATGTTGAACAAAGTTATCCTAGTTAATTTCTATAGGTCATTCTGATTAAATGGCATATAATTTTATGACATTGGAAGGAAAAGTTGGAAAAAAATTGTTTCTAAGGAGATGATTAGCAGATTTACGGATTCCCTTATTCCCGTTAATTTGGTCAAATTCTAAAATTAGTCACACCCTCCTTTTTTCTTGCTCTCCCATGCCATTTTTCTCAATTTCTAACTCCTCCTTCACTATCTGTGCTACAATCATGGCTATCCGTAGAATATATAGTTGTTATATTATTCTACTCTGCTTTCTCTAAAGTATTTTTATAAGTCACTTCTATTGCTTATTAATTTCAAGATATATATATATATATATATATATATACGCATAAATATATTATTAGCTGATTCTTAAGCGTTTTCGGAACTGGGATTTGGAGTCTCCTAATTAACTGACTCTTTTGTAAGAAAACTAGAGCAATATTTTGCTTGCTAAATTCACAATTTTTTTTGTTTTTTTTTTCGTTTTTTTTGTTTTTTTTTTGGGTTAATCTTTGAGTTATGGGAACTTTGTTGATGGACCATATTAAGAAGCAGGCGTCTTCTTTTCTTCAAGACAAATACAAAAGTGCCAGGCTCGCCTTAACTGATGTTACAGAAGCTGAAGTGTAAGTCTTTTTTTCTTGTAGTACTTTAGAATCATGATTAAAGAGAAACAAAATTTATAATACGGATATCTGGAATAATTCAGATTAACAGTGTTATATATAAATATATACATATATATATATATAACTCCTATGTACAATAAAATGCCTAATTAGTTAGTATAATGCAGTTTTTCATTATAACAAATATTGTCGTACACATAATGTTATTTCCCTTTAGGTTTTAGCGAGATATACATAAATATATGTGTGAATCAGGGCTCAACAATTAATCATTTTTTCTCGTTCTTTGAATTTTGTCTCTGAGTATGCTAATTTTACATGTGATGTTCATTATCATGACTTATGGTCCTTTTATATTATAATAATTATAATTATAAAGGTTGGCTGAGTTAGCAACAAACAGTGATCAGTGTAGTCCAAATGCCAGAACCATGACTATAATCGCCGAGGCATCCTATGGAGTTGATGATTATTGGAGAATTGTTGATCTTCTCCATAGGAGGTAACGATAATCATTTATATAATAAATCACTTTAAATTCGAGCGCTAGAGAATGAAGATATTATAACTAGCTATAGTAATATATATTGAAACTAGCTATCTTATGTTATATGATAATTGAAGTAATTCATTGTACTTAAAAGACCCTATTAATATTGTTATTTTTCTTAATGTTTTTATAATGTATTGTAAGATCATCAGGAATCAACCTTGAAACAAACACGTTCGCGCACCCAACCACTTAAGTTAGGCTCAAGTCGCTTAAGATGCTATTATTTTGGTTGCCATATATAAGCGCGCATATATATATATATATATATATATATATATATATCATATAAACACCAAATACAGGTTATATTGCGTGGACTGGAAGCAATGGAGGCAGGCATACAAGTCGCTGATACTTCTTGAGTTTTTACTAACACATGGTCCTGAAGATTTTGCTGAAGAATTCGTGTGTGACACTGATGTCATCCACGAGCTTGGAACATTTCAATACATAGATGACAAAGGGTATGTAACTTGTAATAATACACTTACTTTTTTTAAGAAAAATGCAGGATAAGAATGTATATAATATGTATACACATGACTATACATACATACACTAAGAGAAACAAAAAAAATACACACACTGCATGATTACAACAAAAACATAAAAATGAGGAAATTTTATGTAGATTTTATCTTGTGACGGAGTCATATATAGTTGAACAGGGATATGTGCTCCGCTCAAAGTTTGGTATGTATCAAATGAATTATTTACATATGTATTTTTCTTAAATTTCAGTTGCACCTCTTATTTTATAAAAATAAGAAATCATAATTACGCTTCCAGTTAAGAATTGAAATATATTATAATATGGTTCTTGTTCAATGAAAACTTATCTCTTATATTCGTAGTGTCCTCAATTGAAAAAAATTTCTGATTCTGCCACTAAGTTTGTCAGATGACAAAGCGGGATGTGATAAACTAATGGGACAAGGGTGGTCTTTTTTTGGCATGCATGTTAGGTTCAACTGGGGTTATAGTATGCAAAGGAAATCAGAAGAGATACTCAAACTTCTCGGAGCAGGAAAGAAAGTATTGAAAGAAGCACGTTTAAGAGCACTTAAAGTAACAAGAGAAATCCAAGGATTTGGAAGTTCAACATCACCAGTTTCACCTTCATCCTCCTCCCCGTCCCCTTCCTCTTGCTCGGCTTCTGAATCGTCGCGAAATTCGTCGTTTGGCTCATTTTCAACTAGTGACATGAACAATGAGATGAAAAAAATTCCACAATTTCTAACTACCATAAAAGATGCGGAGGGTTATTCACAAGGTGGAATAAGAGATGATGATATTGAGAAAGATGGAATTCTGTGTTCAAAGAATAAAAGTGTTGAAGGATTGCACATTTGGGATTGCCCTTCAATCCAAGGGACAGGCTGTTTTCTTGAAGGGAAAGATGAAGAAGATTATTATGAAGATGAGAAAGGAGGTGGTAATTATAATGGTTTTGTTGGTGGAATTTTCTCAAAGCTTTCTGGTTTAACTGGTCCTTCAAGAGGTGGTAATGGCTTTAGGAGTGTCTCTGATGTTGGGAGGGAGGTAAAGAAGTTCAATCGTCAATTTTCACTTTGGTATTAATTGTCATACATATTAAATATTGTATAAGAATGTTTCATTGGGGGCATTGCTAGTGTTACGTCACATTACCTTTTTCACTGTTATATATGAGAGAGTCAAAGTATCGTCCTTTCTATAAAAAAAAAAAAAAAAAAAAAATCGTTACATATATAATGTAGTTGTATATAAATTATAAAGAAATTATTAATCAAATCAAAAGTGCCATTTCTCAATGCTCTCTAAATCTCAAAAACATGATTGTGTATAATATTTGCATCCTGCGTTATTATCTATAATTGTTTTGGGCTTTTTTTTATGTGTGAGATTTTTATTTATGGACATCTTATTTTTGAGTGAATATATATTTATTGTTATTTAATTTGGGGAGAATGTTGAAATATTAATATGGACTAATACAAATCATAACTAATTCACTTAAATATGTTAGAAAATTAGAGCATGGTTTTATGTACAATTATATTAAAATATGGTTTATGCATAGTATTATATTAATGGTCATACTGAGATGAACAATTTAATTTCTAATGTACTTCAGGTTTCTTAGAAGACGTTTAGTTCATGGATTAGAATCATGTAATTAGAACTATTTTTGATTTACGTATATTTTTTGTGAGAGAAAATACTGTAACGAATCACGAACCATAATTCGAATCAGGGAACGAATCTAGGTACCAAACACCCCCTTAAATTCTCTCTCTAAATATTAAGGGGAAATAGTAGAAAATATGCCAATATGAAAAGCTTAAAAAAGTATATAGGTCAATTTTTAGTTATAGAAATTAATAGGCCATAACTTGTCAAGTTATGGTTCATAACCAGATAAGTTATGGACAAACTTATCAAGTTATGGTTCATAACCAGACAAGTTATGGACAATTATGGACAATAACTTGTCAAGTTATGGTTCATAACCAAACAAGTTATGGATTAAAACAATAATTTAGCCTATTTATTAACTTATGTAAACGATTGATCTATTAATTTTAATTCATCTTAAGTCCTAGTATATTTCTCTCTTTCTTCTGTGAGCACAATTAGACCAAATTCTCTCTCTATTGAGTATTGTTTAAAGCCCAACAAGGCCCACCCAACATATTGGAGAAGACAACATATCAGATATTTTTGGGGTTGTTGTCTAGGGTGCGTGTGGTCGAATGTGTGGTTGTTTTTGAGAGGGGAGCAACAGGAGAGTTCAATACACTTCAAGCTCCTTTGGCGTTGCAGGTGGTTGATCAAATTCTGACTGACTGTTGATGATTTTCGGCGACTATGGGCGACGTTGTTCTGCTGCTAAATGGAGGAGGTAATCCTAGAACCATTACTCTTGTATATTATGCTTCAAACTCCAATGAGATTGTGTGATTTTCGGATTAAATGGTTAGGTTACTGTTTTTGATCTCATTTATTAGTATTGAGAATCTATCATTTCTATAAAATAGTATCAAAGCAACTCTTATTAGACTTAAATTTACAGGTAAATACACGATTTAACACATAGACGATTGAAAATACTATAATAGTTACAAGTTTGAATCAGGTAAATACTACATTTACTTGTAAATATTAATTACATTAATGAACTAGTTGAAAAATACATGCTATGCATGTGGGGTGTAATCGTGTATTAAGTTTTAATTACCGTATTATTATTAAAAGCATATAAAAGCTCAAGAAGAACTTAAAATTAAAAAAAAATAAGTTTCAAGGCAAGTAGCTAAAAAAAGTATTAAAATGAAAGGGATAAAAAACCTCAGAGAGTAAAAATATATATATAGCGGCACTGCTGTTGTTTACGTGGTTTCGATCAAAACGGCATTGTTTTGGTCAAAGAAGTATATGAACAGTAAACTTTCAAGATGAAACGAAAAAATGAACAGTGAAAACACTATTCATAAGGGGTAAATTTCAACTAAAAGTGTTTTGGTTAAAAATAGTGAACCCTATTGACATTTCTATATATTTTTATAGATTTGATAAACACAGTATTTGCCTATAAATACTTTAGTTGTTACAACTTAAAATCTAAAAAATATTGGGGTAGTTCTTTTACAACAAAATTCAGAAAAAATTTAAACTTAAGTTACAATTTTATTCAAATTCACGTTCTTTTAAGTTCCAACTTTATTCAACTTTACTCAACTTTATTCAAGTTACAACTTCAAATCAAGTTATAACTCAAATTTAACTCAAAAATTACACTCAAGTTACACTCAAATTACACTCTAAAAGAACAACCCCATTGTATCTACTAATAATTTTTTTTTTTTTGCTTGAAGTATTTACCAGTAAATTAAATATGGTAAATATTGTATATACTAAAAAATAATATAATAGTTGCAAGTTTAAATTTAATAAATACTACATTTATATGTAAGTACTTTAGTGATTATATTTTTGAACATGATAAATATTGTATTTACCTTTAATAATTACTGTAACACCCTTCTCTTTAAACATTATTAATAAATAAATTGTCAGAGATAACAACGGATGTTTATTACAAGGCCTAAAAAGTTAAAGCAAACCTAAACTTTTTGTTTCATATTATATTACATAAATATTTCAATCCCAGGACATCTTCCTTTTTTATATATATAATACTCAAACTGTTTAAACACCTGTAATTATTATTCTTTTATATTTTTGAGTTAAGATGACTTAAATGATGATTTTGAATTGAGTTTGAATTATAGTTTGAGTTGAAATTATAACTTGAGTTTGTGTTTAGATGTGCACATTTGAGTTATGATTTGAATTGAGAATCTATTTGAGTTTGTGTTTAGGTGTGTCAAAACTTAAATTTGTACTTATAGTATTTTAATAAAAACTTAATGGTGATGAAAAATTTTAATAGGGTATATAGGTGATGTTTTATTCATCTTTTCGTTGTGAATGCATAGAAAAAAAATCATCTCAATCATAATTAAAACGAAAAAGTTATGACATTTTTAAGAATAGAAAAAATATTGTTCATTAACTTGAGTTTGAGTTTATGAACTCGGGTTGTAGGGAAAATTTAAACTCAAATTTAACCTTAAACTCGAGTTCAAACTCAAATTTTATAAAAGAATGTGAACTTAAATAAAGTTATAACTTGAATTTAATTTTTTTTTGAGTTTGTTACAAAAGAACAACCTTTTAGATATTCTGAAGCGCTTTTCTAAAACTTCTTCCCATCAGGTCGGTTTCATATTGACAATTATGCTGGCTTGACACTTTGCTCATTTAGAGGTTAGTTTATTACTCATTTTTTCTGTACCAATAATATTATTAAACTGACGAACTACGCTCAATAAGTAAAGTTAAAAGTCTCACGTGTAAATTATTTATTATACACGTGTTTTACTTTACTGTCTTTTAGGACCCTATAAGGATAGTGTCGTTAATCGTTGACCATCTCAAATTGTCAACCTCTGGCCTGATAACTTTTATTGAGCTCTGCGCTCTCGTATAGGTTCATTGTCACGAGGCTTTGTAAACCGACTACCATCTTCATGAGAAAATGACTTAGGCAAAGCACCTCCTTATGTCTTATTAAAAGACCTTTAATTAATGTAATGCTTTAAACATGAACATAGAGATACTACTACTTTGTAGTGAGAATTTTACGTACTTTGTCCTAGTTACTTATAAGATAATATACTCCTTAACAGGGTCTCAATATTAGAACTAACGAATTCTCAATTTTTATGGCTTGTTCTTTTGGAGTTTAACTTGAATATAATTTTTGAGTTGAATTTGAGTTATAACTTGAGTTGAACTTATAATTTGAGTTTGTGTTTAGTTGTGTACATTTTAGTTATGGTTTGAGATAGAAATCTTTTTGAGTTTGTGTTTAAGTGAGTCAAAACTTGAATTTGTATTTAGATAGTATTTAAATAAAAACTCAATGCTGATGAAAAATTTTAATAGGGTATATGGGTCGGGTTTTATTCATCTTTTCGTTGTCAACGCATAAAAAAAAATTATCTCAATCATAATTAAAATGAAAAAGTTATAGCATTTTTAAGAATAGAAAAAATATTGTTCATTAATTTGAGTTCGAGTTTCTGAACTCGAGTTGAAGGAGAAACTTGAACTCGAGTTTTAGTCCTAAACTCGAGTTTGAACTCGAGTTTTAGTCATAAACTCAAGTTTGAACTCGAGTTGAAGGGAAAATTCGAACTCGAGTTTTAGTCTTAAACTCGAGTTTAAACTTAAAAGAACATGAACTCCAATAAAGTTGTAACTCGAGTTGTCTTTTTTTGAGTTTTTCACTCAAAAGAATAAGCCCTTAATTTTTCACAATAGAGTTTGATAAAACTTGAGAGAGACATTATATGGAAGACAAGGAAAGAGTAGTGTGGGTCTGGGGAGTATTGGAGAGGTAATGAACAAATTGGGATCCTCAATTTGCTGAGGAAAGACTTCATTTTATAGCTACATGCTATGGTTGTTTCTTTAAAGCTATTTTTTTTTTTAATAGAGTTGATTTTCTTGAAATAGTCTTTTATTAACATTTCTTGTGGACCACCTTTTGTGTGATTTTGTACCGTTCTAAAATTCTGAAATGGAAGATTTATTGGAAGATTCTGAAAATAATGTTGATATAAGCATTTTTTTGTTGTTGTTTTTTAGTAGTAAAAATGGTTTGTTTCATTCCTTAGTCGTAATTTACATCAGTTTATAGAGTTGGAATCAACATCAAGTAGTAAACAAGAAAAATTATTTGAAAAGGATAATTATTAAAAAAATAGTAAAAAATAAAGCAAAAAAAAAATATGCAACTCACGCTTTCGATGGGGAGAAGGATGTGTTAGCCGAAATAGGATAATACAAAGAAGATGAAAACTATAGGAAAATGAAAAACTGAAATTGTACATTATAGTATGAGTCCGACAATATTCATTAGCCCATTTTTTCGTTGAGCCTGCTACCGTTTATCAACCTTTTATTGTTGGGTCTGCTTCTATTCATTAGTCCATTATTATGAATCTAATGGTAAAACTTTATACCGTGTTAAGAATTATTCTTATTTTTATTTATCACGTTTTAAAAAAAATGATTTTAAAATAATGTTTGGTACAATTAAAGATAAAAAAATAAAAATAAAAATAATTTTTTAATCTAGTGTAAAATAGAAAAGAAATGAAAAATAGTCATTTTTCATTTTTTGTTTTTATTTTCTCATTTCACGAGCAGAGAGAGACATTAATGAGGTTTTTTATATTGAAAATAATCTCTTGATAAAACTACCAAATGCATTTTCAAAAATGATTTCTGTCTGAGATTGAAAACGTTTTCATTTCCATTTTCATATAAAAAATAAAATCATTTTGAAACGAGTTTCAAACGCACCTTTAAATTTCCAATCACAGTTTTCCGCAAAAGACTGATCAAGACGAAATTGCATGAATATTGTTCCGATGCTTATTATTGATCAGAACATTATTCTCAACAGATAATAACGCAAAAATCATCGTATTATTGTTCCAACGGGTAGTTTTCAACGGTCAGAACGCTGTTCATAACGGCTAAGGATAAAATTGTCCAATCACTATTACAATGGTAAAAAAGCTAGTTTTTACCCTACAAATAGTTTAGTTTTTTAATCTTCATATTTACCAACATTTTTACTCTTGAAAACATCTTTTTTCAAAAAGGTTTCTTAATGATAACTCTAGAAATTAGAGTCATCTTAGGCCTTTTTAAGCTTAAAGTTGGCTAATCCAAAGGTAAGTTAGTCTATTTTTCTGTGTTTATTTCCAACTTTTGGTTTTGTTTTGATGAACCAAGCTAAGATAAGTGTGTGTGCCATCTTTGAGGTAATTTTGAAGAGAATCGGATTAAAAACGGTTGAGTTGTGCTCAAGATATGTTGATGTGTATTGTAGGAATTTTGAAGGAAATGCTGCAACATTTTGCTGCAGCAAAATTTGATAGCAAGCAACCTTGTGAGTGACATCAACACATGTCAAAATTTGATAGCAAGCAACCTTGTGAGTGACATCAACACATGTCAGAGCGAAGGAAAAAGACAAAGGTACATAGGAGGATGATGCTCTACAGAGTCGTTTGGACTCAATCACTCACTAGGTGCCACCTCAGCGTCCTTGGACACCTTAATGAAGAGTACACCCATTTCTAGAGAGGGCAGCAACAAAAAAAAAGAGAATGAGAAACAAGTACCGAATAGAGAAAAAAAGGGGCAGAGAGCTAAACTTGGTACTGTGGAGAACATAAAGGAATAAGAAAGAGGGTTGCACTCAGAGAGAGATCTTCTAACCTTCTCATCACGGGGAAGATTGCTTGAAGAAGGAAAGGAGGAAAACAAGGATTCAAGCTCTAATCAGCTAAATTTTCTTTTACTTTCTTCTACTCTCTGTGGTCTTTATTCTCTTTCTGGATTTGCATATCTACTGAATAATGAATTATACTAAGCAATTGATTTATGTAATTTCAACTATTAGCTAAACTGTTTTTAGCTAGGATTGCTGATGGAACCAAGGTTGTGAGAATGATGGATTGCTTATAGAATGTTTATTGATTTTATTCTTGTTCATCTATGTGTGTTACTACTTATTTCTATTTTTGACTGGCCATCATCAATTATAGAATACAAGACTTAGATTAACACTGGAAAGATTAATTTGAGTTGGATCTAGCATGGATGATGCAAGTTCAATAATCTTGTTTAAGACCTCGTTCATTTCACCGATTCGAGTTTTCAATTCCAGTTTTGCTACAGTTAAAAGCTCTCACAAAAAGTCACATCTAACTTGTTTGCTACAGTCAAAAGCTCTCACATAAAGTCACATCTCAGCTCGAATTAAAAACTTGAATCGGCAAACTGAACGAAACCTAAGTTTGTTGATTTGTGAATGGTATAGGAATATATTGTTCATCTTGTATAACCCATTGAAATTGGTGCTGAAATTTGCATTCTGAAAATTAGATTCACATAGGAATATGCTAGAAATAGTGTAAAGAATCCGTCATAATTAATTCAGGAGAGTTTTATGTAGAAAATTAAGTTTCAGTTAACATGACTAAAATATGTTGTAGCATTCCGTAGCTTTTTCTATTAGACTTACAACTAATGGGAAATGTAATCCTAGCTTACTTAAGTCACTCATTACAATCCATAGTTGCACTCTTATCTCTTATTACCCTTTTTCTTGCATTTATAGTGCATTTTGTCTTTTATTTTACTTAGTGAGTTTTGTTAGTTAATTTCCATCTAAATTTGGTGTTTGGCGTGATTTCTGCACTATTCAATTAGTGAATCAATCTCCGTAAAGATGATATATGTGCTCAGTATACTTTATTACTTAAACAATTTATGCACTTGTAGAATTATGCAACACTAACAATCTTCTACTTCTTAGTTCTTTATGATGATAGCTCCCTAATAGTCATACACTTTATTACGCTAGCTATTATCATTTTTTTATTTCTAATTATAATTATATGTCATGACGCTAGATCATGGGATCGCAATGTAAGGGAACATTAAAATTAGCTTTTATATTGTACTCTATTGTAATTTCTTTGATATTAAAAAATGCTTTATTTATTTGGGTATTACAGTTACTATTTAGAATTTGATATTTACGGGTAAATAAGTATGATATTTACAGGTAAATATAGTATAAATTGATCGTGGGCATCAGCGGCTAGATTTTTTAGGTAAATAATATTTACGAGTAAATATGATATTTACTAGTAAATACGGTATTTACCAGTTGAAAGTGTCGGCGGCCGGATTTTCAGATAAATATTGTATTTACAAGTAAATACAATATTTATCGGTATATATAGTGTTTAACGGTCGCTGGAGTCGGTGGGCGGATTTTCAGCTAAATATGGTACTAACGAGTAATACGGTATTTACTGATCACACGCACTGGCGACCGGATTTTTATCGTATTTACTGGTTGCTGTCATCGATCGGCTGGTCATTGGGCGCTGGATTGACGACAGCCGTCGTCACTGACGAACCATAAACTATATATTATAACAAAATGTCATAATTTACTATTTAAAAAAAATAAAAGTTCAAAGACAATGAGAGAGAAAGAGAGAAAGAGAGAAATATGGGTTTAGGGGTATTTTTTGAGTTTTTAATAATATGAAAAGCTTAAAATATCAAATATGCTATAATCTAGCTATTCTATTTAGAGAGAAATAGAGAAATAGACCAAGACTTGAGATTAATTAAAATTAATAGGTAAATAGTTTACATAAGTTAATAAATAGGCTAAATTATTATTTTTGTTCATAACTTGTCTGGTTATAAACTCTAACTTGACAAGTTATTCACGGTTTTTGTCCATGATTTGTCTAGTTATGGACTATAACTTGACAAGTTTGTCCATAACTTATTTGGTTATGAATCATAACTTGATAAATTATGGCCTATTAATTTCTATAACTAAAAATTGACTTATATACTTTCTTAAACTTTTCATATTGACATATTTTCTACTATTTTCATTCTATTTATATAAAATAATTTTTTTTGGTGTTCTCTTTTTTTTTTAAATATTTATTTATTAGTTGTTAAATTTGTATTAATTTTTCAATCTGATAATTTTTAAATAGATTTAACAGCAGAAAAAATCCTTAAAACAAATGCGCTGTAATTTGCTAGACAACCTACCAAATATCTCGTCCTTTTTATGTTTTTCCCTCTCTCTCTCTCAAAATTTTTTTCCCTCGCTCTAGTTTCTCTCCCGCTCTCTCTCCGCGGGCGACGAAAAGGGTTTTAGGTTTGATAGCGCATTGCAACGGCTCGACACGAGATCCAGATTTTGGATTGTTGCGAGGATTTCTACGGTTTTGGTGTTTTTTTTTTTATTTTACCTAAACGCATTATATTGGTCATCTCGCACTGCTTTTAAGTTTCTTCGCGATCTCCGGTTTTGGTTCTTGGGGCTTTATTTGGAGGCAAAAAGTTTAGGTCTTTCCCAGTCGTAACTTCTTGAATTTCGTTTCCATTTGTGTCTCTTTTTTTTTTCTTTTTATTTAATCTGGCTCTTTTCGTCCTTCTTTGAAGGAGCTTTGATGATCTGAAAAGTGGGTTCTTCAGTGATCGAGAAACGAAAAAGTAAAATTCTTTTGGGATTTGTGGTTATAAGTATCAAGGGTTTGGGTGTTTGCATTGGTTGGAGAGAATCAGCAAGTTTATAGAGAACGACTTTAGAGAGATAGAGATAGAGAGAGAGAGAGGCACTGCTATTATGGCACAATTGAAGTCGTTTTCTCCATGCCCATCATCCACCAGTCTCGGTTTTCAAGGACCCAAAAGAGGTACACTTTTATTTTCATTGTCGTTTTCTATCTGCATTGTTAATTTTCAACCATTGGTTCTGCTTGTTTTCCGTTCAACAGAACATAAACTCTCAAAGAACCCATCTTTTCTAACTCACTGTTGATGACATTATTCTGGGTAGTGACTAATGTCTAGTTTTGATCAATGTGTGGTAATTTTTGTTTTGAATGCTTATTTAATTTTTATTTTGCAGCTTCATTCTTGTACAGTGACAAAGTGTGTTACTCCGGTAAGCTATCTTCAGCTTTTCAGGTAGTTTAGGGTTGTTCGTTGCCTGCTTCATCCCTCTCTTTCAGCTCTTACCGAGATTTGAAGCCATTCCCTTTTAGCTCATCTATCTGCAATTTCACGTGGTTCTCTGTAAGTGAGATTCGTGATTTGCGTTCACCTTTTGACCATAATCTGCTCCTTCAAGCTCAGAAATCCGCTCCCATACCCACAACTCAAATGCAAATCCATTTTCCCCCAATCTGAGATAGAAAAACCCTAGCCCCAAAATGCGCCCCTCATCTGCATGCTTTTGGTCCCTGCGACCTCCTTGGGCAATCATCCTAGGTCGATGTAGAAGGCCAGGTTCTCGACCTAGTGCTCTCCATTGGCGATGTCGAAGCTCCTTCCTCTGCCATTGTCGTCGCCGATGCCTCACACATGCTAAGTCCTCCTCGCGTTTTCGGAACCTCGAAGCAAATCAAACTTGCTCCTCTGCACGCTCAAACTCGGTAAGTACTCTAATCCTTGGTTTAATTTCCTCTGCTTGTTATGTTATTGTTTGAATTTACTTCCATAAATTCAGGGATTGCAGAGCTGTCAATTTTGATTGTTTCTCTTTAATGGATCACTGTTGGATGAGTGTGAGAGTACTCTAAGACTTAATGATATGTATGGAGAAATACATCTTTGTCAAAAGCAGCTTTGTTTTCGTTTTGAACAAGAATGCTTTATTCATATAATAGAGTTACCAAAGTGTCTGAACCAGTTTGGTGATGAAAATGGATATGTCAGCAGGGGATTCAACTCCTAATTTAACCTTAAAATTCAAGGCAACAGTTCAAAACTGTCAGCCACAGAGAAAAGAAAACCGAAGATGATTTGCTGGTTGCTAAATTCAAAAGCGTGATTTTAGATTGGTAATCCGCATCATTTATACTCAAGAAAATCGAAGTTTCCCTTGGCTGTGGTTTTGCTTATTGTGAGCCTATTTGTTAATGTTTTCTTGCTTCGCCTCTTTGTTTTAGGTGAACCGACTGCTAAGTGGTAGTTCATTTATACTCAACTTTGATCTACATATACATTGTGGCTATGATGGTTAATATATGCTTAATGGCCTAGTTCCTTATGTCGAGTGATATTTGAAAGTTTGACAATTATCAGTTGCCGGTTTATCCAAATCAGCTTGGCATATTGTTATTCTGTTACGATGAAAACTCTTGCTCCGTATGCTTGTTTGACTTCACCTAAATGGGCCATTAGGACCAATATGCCGAAGTTAGCTAAACATTAGTAGCATAATTGTCATTGCTTAGAATAATGCTCCATAAGTGGACTGTGACGGCCATTACACATTCCTGACCCTACTTAAATATATGACTGCTTATTACATGAATTTCAAATGTTATGATTAATGTGTTTATTGGCTTAGTTCCTTATGTCGAGTAACTTTATTTAATGGCGTGACAATTATTGGTTGCTGGTTTATGCAAAAAGTACTGGCATATTTTGCGTTCCTAATGATCATAGGTCTCCCTTACTATATTTGGTTAATTTTAAGTGCATCAGTGAACTTACTATTATGCTAAATTGGATTTAAATTTCGGTAGCTAAGTTGTCATAGCCTACGATAACGCTCCATTTGCGGACGATGAGGGCCATTTCACATTTCTGAGCCTACTTAAAAAAGTGCGTGCTTATTCACTAAATG